ACTACAGAGAGCATGGGGCATGAGGAGTCCTTAAACACAACCAGACACTACAGAGAGCACGGGGCATGAGGAGTCCTTAAACACAACCAGACACTACAGAGAGAATGGGGCATGAGGAGTCCCTAAACACAACCAGACACTACAGAGAGAATGGGGCATGAAAAGTCCCTAAACACAACCAAAGCCCATCACTGCACACCTTCTCTAAAATGTCAGTGCTGGCTCCTCACCTAGAGCAACTGACCAGACAGAAAACACAACATGGGGCAGTAACTAATCCATTATTGAGCTCCCAGGATTTAAACAAACTCTTCAGCACCCCTGAGAGCTGAAAAACTGCACAAAGAGAAGCTGAACCTCATGAGCCTTCTCTGCACATCACCAGGTTTAAATTAACCTCTCCCTTCAGGGTTTTGTTAAAAGAAAAGGCTCTCACTTACCTTCTACATCAATATTTTGATCAGGAATCTCCAGCTCTATGACATTCATGCTGGATTCTTTCCAAGAGCCACTGAACATACTGGAAAAGTAGCCTGACTGTATGAAGGAAGAGAGAAAAAGAACTCAACTAAGAGATTTCATCCCACTTAGAACTGCCAAAAGCAGCACGTGGAACCAAACACAGTTAATATTTACCTTTGTGCAGAACAAAATATATTAAGGGAGCTTTCACAAGCTAAAACATTCTGACAGACTCGAGGGGCTGACTGTAGCTGCTGTTTCTGACACTCAAAATGCCTACAGGAAAGTTGGGGCTATGTGTGTGTAACCAGAGTAAGGAAAGAGTTTGAAAAGGTCAGAAAAGCTACACAAGCTCTTTTTCCCACAAACCACATCACCAGTGGGGACAGAATTAGTCCAAAAACTAAGTGCTTAAGGTTACTAGCAAACAACAAATCCTGCAGGCATTAGGGAATGCCAGTTAGGGGTGGGAAAAAAAAAAAAAAGGCATGCAAGACATGCAAATTACTGTACAAGGCTGTAGCCTCATACCAAGGACACAGACACACACACCATTTACGGCAATATACCTTTTATTATTAAGTGAAAAGCACATAAAACTAGAATTTGAGGTTTCCATCCAAAGGAAGGGAAAGATAATGCTCTACTAGGGTTCCTGATTTTCCTTCCCAGCAGCAGATGTGCCCATTATGAGATGCTATCAATGAAGTTTACCTGAGAGATCAAAAAAATAAAGTCTATTTGTACAGCACTGCATTCCCTGACCTCTTCCCTCAGCATTTCAGCTCAGGGCAGCAAATTACACAAACCCCAATTTTGATTTCATTTGATCAGGTCAGTATTTCTGTACCCCTGGCATATCCCTAACTCTGACACCCACAACATGTTCCTATCAAACCCAGGGCCTCACTCATCTTTGTCCTCCTCACGAGGCTGCCTCAGCTTTGCCACAGAGATCACCTCCCCAGTTCCATAAGGATTTATCATTTTTGTAACAGCATCATGAGAAAGAAATGCCCCATTTTTCAGAGCTGCTGTGACCAGCACCTGACTGTCCTTCCTGGAACTTGAGGCTCCATGTCCTTCATGGAACTTGTGCCTGGAGAGAGCAGGGGAGCAGAAACAGCCAGGCTGAGTCTGCCTGGGGGCACACAGTGGCATTAAGAGTCATTTACATGGAGTTATTCCTAACCTCCAACACCATTTTACCTACAGTAACACAACTGCAATGCAGGAGTGTGCCCTGGAACAGAACCTGCCTGAGGAGAATGGTCAACTCCTCCCAAAGCTCATGTCCCAAAACCACTGCTGCTACAAGGCCTCTACAGACAAGTCACAACTTTCAACCCCTCTAAACAGCTGCACCCACAGAAGGGATTGCACACCCAATTTCAGTCAGCAACCCGTGCTAAGGCCTCAGGAACAGCTTCACCAATAGCAGATGTAGCAACCACAGAGCCACAGTGACAGAAAACAACAGCAGCCTGTAGCAGCAGTGCTGTGCCCACCCTGCACCACCCAGGCTGCCTGTCCCCCTCCCCGGGGTGCAGAGTGGCAGTGGGAGCTGTGCCTGCCAGCCCTGCTGCTGTCACACACCCCATGGTCCCTCAGTGTCACTGCTGCTGTCACACACCCCATGGTCCCTCAGTGTCACTGCTGCTGTCACACACCCCATGGTCCCTCAGTGTCACTGCTGCTGTCACACACCCCATGGTCCCTCAGTGTCACTGCTGCTGTCACACACCCCACAGCCCCTCAGGGTCACTGCTGCTGTCACACACCCCACAGCCCCTCAGTGTCACTGCTGCTGTCACACACCCCACAGCCCCTCAGTGTCACTGCTCCTGTCACACACCCCACAGCCCCTCAGTGTCACTGCTCCTGTCACACACCCCACAGTCCCTCAGTGTCACTGCTGCTGTCACACACCCCACAGCCCCTCAGTGTCACTGCTCTGCCTTCAGTTTATGCTTGTTACAGGTTCTCACACTCCAAAAAGAAACGGCTCTTTCCTACAAGAAAGCAATGGAACACTCCTCTTGCTGGGACCACACAAGTAATTGCTGAAGCTGCTCTGGAATTCGGGCACTGACACAGCAACAGCCACAAAAAAACCCAGAATGGGCTCTTCCTGTCACTTGTTGCACCAGAGAAACTACAGCCATGTGTGGAGCACCCCCAGTGCCACCGTGTCACACCCCTGCTCTGCTCCACTGCAGCTGACACACAAGGGCCCTCCTGTCCAGGTACAGCACCTGAGGGCTTCACACCAACCCTGCCAAGGCCAGAACCCCTGAAAGACACGGGCACAAGAGAATTTGGTGTTTCAGGGCACAGCCAGGGCTCCTCCCACAGCAGGAGTGACACAGCACAGACAGCGAAGCCACCAGCACCTCTGCACCCCCACAACACAGACACAAAGGACTCCAGCTCAACACAAGCCCAACAGGAAATGTTTGTGGAAACAGCATCCTTTTGGGCTATGCACTAGGGTTTATTCCTTTTCAGAGCTCCTGAGAAAACCCTCCTCCTGCAGCAGCAGGGATGCTGCAAGGAATCCTTTTATGAAGGCTGGTAACAATCACCTAACACCTGCAGAGACCCAGCAGCAGCAATTTCCCTGCAGGTCCCTGCACACAAGTCCAGGGGACAGTAAAACTGGGCTGGGGCACCACAAATCCCTTCTGGAATCCCTCCTTTGTACTGCAAGAACATTCACATCACAGGAGTCTCTCAGCCACTTGTTCAGCAAACAAGAACATGTTCTCAGGACATGAAAGACAACTGTCACGACTGTTTTCACAGACAATGCACCAAGATTAGGAATAAAATAAATTAAACAAAATAATTAAGCAGTATGAGAAGCAAAAACTTTTTCAAATATGAACCTACAGCTCTGCTTCCCAACAGGAACTCTTGTTGCTAACAGGAGCTGGTTAACAAAAAGAGTTAAAATCCTAAATATAAAGTGGAAGAGAAAAAAAAAAAAAAGGAAGATCTCCAGTCATACTTCAGAGTTCTCAGACATCCTTTTATTAAAAACACAGTTCCTACTGGGAGTTAGAAAGGAACCACTTACCTGACACAAATAAATCTTGTGCAAGTTCCACTCCTCTCCCAAAGCACAAATTTTGATATCACTGTTCTCCCCATTCAAAAACAGTGTCTGATAAATATACTTCGACGTGCTTTTCAATTTTTTCCTAGTAAAAACAAAACAACAGTGAGACACACCCCTTGAGATCCGTTACAGCATCAACAGTCGCTGATGGGGGTTGTTCCTGCCCGGCCCGGCCCGGCCCGGCCCGGCAGCCGTGTTCCCCCGTGCCGGCACCGCTGCCCCGTGCCCGCCGCTGCCGCCGGGGCCTTTCCCGAGCGGCCCCGAGCCACCGCCGAGCCGGGCAGCCCCATGCGGCCTCAGCCCGGCTCCTCTGCCCTGCAGCCCCCGCTGCTGCCCGCACGGCACCGAGGGGAGGCCGGGCCGGGCCCTGCGCTGTTCCCTGGGGGCTGCGCCCCGGCCCGGCCCCGCATCCCCCCGGCCCCGCTCAGCCCGGCCCTGCAGCTTCCGCAGCGCCCGTCCCTCAGACCTGCGGCCGCGGAGGTGCAAGAGCCGCTCCTCCCGCTCGGCCTCGCCGTCGCTGTCGCTGTCCCCGGTTCCCTCGGTCCCGCCGCGCTTCCTCTTGCCGCCCTTGCCCGCGGCCGCCGCCTCGCCCCGCGGGAGCCCGGCCTTCCGCCGCAGCACGCGGCTGCCCAGCGAGCCCATGGCCGCTCCACCGCCTCATGGGGCCGGAGCGGAGCTGCGGCCGGAGCGGTGGCGGCGCCTCAGCCCCGGCCGGGGCGGGCGCTTCTCGTGCGCCGCGAGCGACACGGCCGCGTAAGGAGTTTTGTTAATGGTTTAAATTGACTTCTGGGTTGCTTTTCTTAATCATGATTTTCCTAATCATCACCTATATATATAGATATGTATATATACATATCTCTATATATGTATATATATATATTTTTATATATACATATTTATACATGTATATATACATATATACACATAACCTATATATATCTATATATATAGATGATTATTAAGAAATAGAAATATATATTTAAGAACTATTAAGGAATATTTGGGAAATATATATTTATTTATATATTTATCTATATATTATTTTTCTATATTATCTATATAATATATATTTAATATATATTTAATTCATTTTATTATTTATATTTATATTATATATAGTATATATCTAGATATTTAACAGTAAAGCATAAAGCAATACAAAAAATAAATACATATATATATATATATATATATAGTGCTTTGTTCTTAAATTAGTCCTAGCCAGTGTTTAGCAAAGTTGCCATAAGCTGCTTTTGTAGAAAAACAGCTTGGGAAACTTACTGAAACTTACTGAAACATAAACAAACTGATGGAGTTCAATGAACAAAGCCTGGCAGAGAAACTTATTGTTGAGGTTGGACATTGCAGTGTAGAATGTACGGACGAAAGGACAATTTCCAGAAACCAGACCACAAAGAAGAGACAAAATCAGAGTTTATGTGTTGGAAAGTCCTTATCGGAGGAAAAGGATACAAAGAAGACTAAAACCATGGATGAATTAGCATAAGAAGCAGCGCTGCGGCCACTCCCCATCCAGGAGCTGCGGTCCAAACAAATTCCTGCCGTGTCCCCTCCCAGAACACACCACCGCGATGGGAAGTACACAAACAAATTCTTTATTCATTTTATTTTCCAGCGCTCTGAAACCCCCGCAGCCAGCACCTCTGCAGCTGCTGGGCTGGGCTGGGCTGGGTTTGGCTGGGCTGGGCTGGGCTGGGCTGGGCTGGGCTTTTCCCCCTCAGAACTGGATAAAAGCTCTGCCTCCTCTGCCGGCAAAACTCAGGAATGTGTCTCCAATGGCAGCCCAGAGAACGAGCAATGAAATTATTCTCTTGGAGGCCACAGAGGCATCTCCTACTCCAGCCTGCAGCCTGTTTTAGAGGAAAATGAGGGATGGGATTGGGGTGTAGCCATCTCAGTGTTGGAGCTTTGCCAAAGCAGCCTCAGGCTGATCCTTCACAACAGGATTATCCACCGGCAGTAAAAAATAAATTGCTAAGCCAAAGCAGAGTCCCATTTTTGGAGGGCAAACAGTGAACAGTGTGTAGGGTCTGGGGGAGAAGTCTCTGCCAGAGGCTGATGGGGACATCCCCGTGAGGCCCAGGCACAAACACAGGTCCCTTATGGGGTTGTGACACAGGGCAGCTGGCAGTCAGCCTGGGGAGATGTGGGCAGCTGTCCCAGGCAGCTCTGGGGAATCCCCTCAGGGATATTTGGGATTGTATCCCAGGAAAATCTGCCCAGCCCCAGCACCAGGCTGGTGAGGTGGGGTTTTGGGGACAGGTCATTCTTTAAAAGGCACCATTCCAATGACAGCACTTTATCCAGAGCAGGTTTATAATATAACCCACATTATTTATATTCCCATGATCCAGCAGACAGGCCAAAATCACAGGGCTGCTCTAACCAGGGCAGAAAAGGGTTTTTCTCATGTCACCAGTGACAATTCCCCACTTACAGGCAACATATACACACAGCACAGCCAGGCTGTTAATGCTCCACACTAACAGAGGCAAGTTAATATGTAAACGTGTTTGTATTTTAGATATTTGGTTTCTTTGTGTTTTAATTCTACTGAAAAACTGAAGCAAACCCGTGTTCTGCAGTCTCCATGTACCAAGGAGGTTGGCTTTTCCCTGTGCAGCCTCTCACTCTCAGGTTTGCTTTAGTTGATGCATTTTGCTGGTGAGCACAACAGCAGAGGGGCAGCTGCTCAGGAAACAACTTTTATACCTTTGGTTACAGCATTCTGTGTAAGTTGGGCTTCACCAGCCCAGTTAGTAGGCAAATGGGTGTTCCAAGCATAAAAGTGTATCAAAAGGGTCAACCAGAATGGCCACTATCTAACCAGAACATGAACTAACCTAAGTCAGTAATCAGAGTAATTAATAAGGCATTTGGGAAAAAAAAAATAAAAGGAAGAAATCTTTATCATGATTGGGCTCGATGATCTTAAAGGCCTTTTCCAACCTAAACCATTCCATGATCAGCTGCTTGCCATCACCCAGCAGGTTCTCCAGGCCTCCTTTAATCCTCCCCACCACACAGCCTGAGCAGAACCTTCCTGTAGTCCCCTGAGCAGTCTCCCTAGAGAGAGCAGAAAAAAGGAACACCATTAATTTTGCAGCTCCATGGAAAGCAGGATTCCTTTCAGTATAAATGACTTATTGTAGTGTTTGTATCCTCTTTGACAACTTCATAACCAAGATCATTCAGGAAGGTTTTCAGTACATAAATGTGAAGCCTCCTTAATTCCACCTCCTCTAAAATACCCAAATGTTGTTTTGAGGGTCTCCTAGGTGCTGCTTAGCAAACCCAGGTGTGTGTAAGACTCTGAGCTCACCTTAATGAAGGAGTGCAGTGATTTTCCATACATGGCCAGGAACTCCCTCCTGATGTAGAGCATGTCTATCTCAGCACGGGACACCATCACCCGGATCAGTGTGCTGTCATCAGTGCCCAGGCCCTGAGGGGACACAACAGCAGCTGCACAGGCTGGGGACACACAGGGACAGGCACTGGGCCTTGGCCTTCCATGGAATCCACTCCTGACTAGACCATTCTTGCATTAATGCAGGCATTCATTACCAGCTCTGAGCTTCCTGAAGGAAAAGAGCTGCACAGAAAAGCTCTGAGCTTCCTGAAGGAAAAGAACTCCACAGAAAAGCTCTGAGCTTCCTGAAGGAAAAGAGCTGCACAGAAAAGCTCTGAGCTTCCTGAAGGAAAAGAACTCCACAGAAAAGCTCTGAGCTTCCTGAAGGAAAAGAACTCCACAGAAAAGCTCTGAGCTTCCTGAAGGAAAAGAGCTGCACAGAAAAGCTCTGAGCTTCCTGAAGGAAAAGAACTCCACAGAAAAGCTCTGAGCTTCCTGAAGGAAAAGAGCTGCACAGAAAAGCTCTGAGCTTCCTGAAGGAAAAGAACTCCACAGAAAAGCTCTGAGCTTCCTGAAGGAAAAGAACTCCACAGAAAAGCTCAGACTTCTTTCTGTTTTCCCTCCAATTAACACAGTTTCTTTTCCCCTAATTGCTGTCATGCTATTGACTTAAGCATGGAGAGGCAGGGGGAAAATAGCAAAATCTCTTTACCTTCATGGATTTGTACAGTCTTTCAGCAAAATAAGCAGGTTTATTCCTCATGCACTTTACTGTAAGGGAGACAAAAGCAAAATAATTAAAACCAATAAACACTGAATGATAGTCTTCCAAACCCTTCCAGCACTTTCTCAGAGCAGACATTTATTCTGTAAAAATGCAACTCAACAAGAACAGTGCAGACATCCAGAGTCAGTGACCTGCTGTCAATTGATGTCTCCATGCCCAGTGCACAGCAATAAAATATTTTTAAGGCTTTAAGGCTTCCAGACAGCAAATGTCATCTGCCAAAGCATCCCCTGGCAGACAAATACAAAGCACAGAACCTTCTTACCACGTCTTTGCATCAGCAAAGATTAAAACACTGTGGCTTGTAAAACAGTGAAAAAGAATGTGCCTCCTGAAGCTGTGCAAACAGTCAGGGCAAGAGACAGTATTTTTAATTATTTAATTAGTTTGTAGACAAAGATTAAAAGCAGGGAACTCACCCACAGCTAACAAAGCATCCTCAAGGTCTCCTGACATCTCAGATTTAATGCTGTCTGTGATGTCCTTATTAGCAATCACTCTGTACACATCAAAAACTAGGAGGAAGAGTTGGATAAAAGAGCCAAGTGAGCTGCTTCAGTGTGTAACCCCCGAGGATCACTTTGCAAGATCAAGCTCCTCATAGCCTGTACAAACACTGCACCATTACCATGACATTGTAAGCTAAATCAGGGCTGCCCCTCAGAAATAATTCATTTTAATTATCAGCTGTCTTGCTAATTAGCCTACCACTGCTGCAAGGATTTTCCAGAACTGCTATTTAATGCAGTTTCCATGCTTAGCTCTGTCCCATGGGAGTCACACTTCATTATCTCCAATTTACAGGCTAGAGGAAGTTGTATGGGTGTTTTACTCAACTCCCATTTTGAATCAACTGGCCCTGAGAATATCTGTTGTCTCAGGAAGGGATCACATCCAGTTAATGAGCAAGTGCAAAGCTCCTACAAAAGTACTGTCCTCAAACAAGGGGAAAAACCCAGGACACCAGAGAGGTGCTACCTCTGAGCAGGTGGCACCTGTTCCTTGTGCAGAGGATGGACATGAACTCCACCTCATCTGTTCCCCATTTCTTCTCCCCAGCTTCATACAGGGCCTGGAAGACATGAACAAAGTGAGGATAACTGAGAACAGCAGGTGTATATAATGAGATTTTTACTTCTTAGAACCATTTGGGTTGGAAAAGCCCTCTAAGACCATTGAGTTCACCACACAACTCATGTCCCATGCCACATTCACATGGTTGTTGAATCCCCTCAGGGATGGGGACTCCACCCCTCCCCTGGACAGCCTGTGCCAGAGCTGGACAACTCTTTTGGGGGAAAAGTATTTCCTAATATCCAATCAAGTCTTCACCTGGGGCACTGCTGACTAGCACCACTTCAGGTTTACTCATCTACCTTGAGAAAAAGAGGTCTATAAACAGCAGGGATTCACCACACATCACACGTACAAACCCAGACAGTCCTTCCCAGGAAGCAAACTGCTACACACCTGAGCATCTTGTTGAGCAAGGGCTTCATCCACAAATGTTCCTTCATCTCTGTTACCCTGCAGTAATACAAGGATGAAAAACTCATTTCAACAGAGCAACTAATGGAAGTAAGTCCTGCAAAATCCCCATTCAAAACCAGTTACTGGAGATGCATAATGGGATTCTTAACATTGAGTAATGGGTTACAAATACAGCAAAACGTGATTCAGATGTGATTGCTCTTTCTGTTGGAACTAGCAGCCATCCACTTTATTAAAAAGAGCATATGGCATCAAGGCATGGCAGAGTGAGGCTGCTCTCCCTGCAGAAGCTGGTGTGAAGTGCTGGCAAGGTGAAATGCAAGGGAAGTGAAACAGCAGCCAGCCTGAAGCACCTCTGTGGGAAATGGATTTATGGAAAATTCTCAAAGCCTGACAGAAGGCTCACAATCTGTATGCAAACTTTGAGATCAGAAATGAGTGAGAGATGCCCAGCAGATGTTCACCCCCGTGATCTCCCCAGCCTGGACTCACCGTGGCGAGGGACACGAGGACCCTGCGGAACATGGAGGATGTGTCAGAGACAATGTCGTCCTCCAGGGTGGAGCCGTACTCTGCCAGGGCACACACACACAGCACATCTGTTACTCACAGAATCCCAGGATTTGCTGACAGGGAAGGGACCCACGAGCACCAGCAAGTCCAACTCCTGGGCCTGCATAGAACCATCCCCAGGAGCCCCACCGTGTGCCCAAGAACGTTGTCCAAACACTCCCTTAGCTCCATCAGGATTTCTGCTGTTCTAGGGAGCCTGTTCCAGTGCCCAGCCACCCTCTGGGTGAAGAAGTTTTTTCTAACATCCATCCTAAACTGTCCCCAGGATTCGAGTTGCCTCAGCAGTGCAGCACAGGGGGACAGGCATGTCCTGCTGGCCACACTGTGGCTAGGACAAGCCAGGATGCCCTTGCCCTTCTTGGCTTTCATGACAGCAATCCAGCCATCATATTGAGTGGTAAAGGGTAAAATTAAAAAGCACAGCCAGGATAAAACTGGCAAAAGATCCACCATGGATGGACCTCCAGCTGACAGACATAACCACCCTACCCCATCACATTTACAACAACTCCATTTCTGGGTGTAATTCTAGTCTTTGGTGCTGACAGACCCTTCTCCTTCCTCTCCACACAGCCCTGCACACCCACAGGTGGCTTCTGAGCCAGTAAGAATTTGCAGAGTGTGCTACATACGGAGTTTGTAGTTCTCATTGATGTGCCGAATCTCCGCGTTGGTGCGAGAAGCCAGGATTTCAATCAGGCAGCCTTCATCTGTGCCTGCTCCCTGGGGAATCAGAGACAAGACTCTGACAACGAGGACTTTTGTTTATTAGATACAGCTTAATAAGAAATTAATAATTAACATACAATTATGGCATTGCATACTGAAGTGACTGTAAGTCATGTGACATCAAAAAGGATTTCCAAACCTTTAGAGCCCTCCTCAGTTCATGCACGTCATACATGGTGGTAGGAGTCATCAAACCAATGATCACCCTTTCAAAATTCCCACTCAGCTCAGACTTCAAGTCATCAATCAAATCCTAGAAGACAGAAAGAGAAGAAAGGAGAAAAAGCACAGCCTTTGAGAAGAGGAAGAACTCGGTCAATACTTTTCTTGGATGAACAGTTGAACTCTGATCAGATGAACTCTGAAGTGAACAAGAACAAAAATCTTGGCCAAGGAAAGCTTGTGCTCAGTGCCAATCATGCTCCTGTGGAGATTAGGATGTTTTTCACATTTCACTCAAGTGGTACAACCCAAAAAAGTCCCCATCTCCCAATTAGAGGCACAGGCACTGATCTCTGAAGAGCACCTACCCTGCCAATAGTGCTTTTATAGGTGATCAGAACTTGCTGACGTTGGGAAACGTTCAGTTTGGTCAAGGTCTCAATGATGGCATCTTCATCTGTGCCTGGAAGGAACCAAAGAAAACCAGTCAAGCTGCTTGTACCAGAACCAGAGGCCTGCTCTGGCCTTGCCCAGGGTGTGCCATTGGCCACACAACCTTACACACATCCTTGCACAACCTGGGTCTCACCTGTGCATGAGTGCCTCAGCCCAGCAGCACCACACCACAGACACAGAAAACAAGAGCCTGACTAAATATGTTTTTATGGCCAAGACTTGAATTTCCAGTGGGGTTCAAGTTGCCCAATTCCCTCCAGTGCCCTCACAAGGCAGTGAGGTGATGCAAATGGCTGAACTTCCCCTCCAAAAAACCACCAGTAAAAACCTTCCCAAGCAGCAGAGCTGAAAAAGGTTTAACAGTGGAGGGAGATAACTTACCAAGGCCCTTCATGGCCTTCCTTAGTGCCTGTGCTTCTTGCTCAGCACTGAAAGCTGAGACACCCTTGATTGTTGCCTAAAGCCAAAGGAGAGGAGTTATGAAAAGTAGTCACAAAGTGAGACATTCACAGAGTAGAACTGAATTTAAAAAAACCAACCAAACAAACAAACCAATTCAAAAGATGCAAACATCTCTTTTGGAAAGTGACAGCCAGTAAAGTCAAAAACACCCTCCAAACATGAGTGATTTCATACCAAGTTCCATCCATTCCAAAAATGAAATGGTTTGTTCCAGAAGGACTTCCCAGCCACATAAGAAATAAGCTACAGGGACTCAACTGAAAGGAGAAAATATCTTAATGTGGCTGCCCATGCAGTATCTGCTTTCCAGTTAAATAAGGGCACACTGCCTGACATCTCTGTTCAGTCCAGCTTCTTCCCAGCAGTTTTCCATGTAAATCATAGAAGAAGCTGTTCCCAGCAAAGCCCCATTCCTGACTTCTCTAAGAGCAGTCAAGAACAATCATTCTGTTAAATAACACACCAGAAAGTGCAGTGTTTTACCCAAAATGGTGATTCACAAACAGGTTTCTCCTGCCTCTGGTCTGGTGCAATTTCTGGGGAAATACACTTTTCTTGCAAAGCTCTTCATGTTCCCAAGAAAATCATCAGTGGTAAAGGTACCACTTAACATTCAATGGGCAGAAAAGTGTTCCCCTGTCCCTGGAAGTGTTCCAGGCCTGGCTGGACAGGGCTTGGAGCAGCCTGGGACAGTGGGAGGTGTCCCTGCCCATGGCTGGAGATGGAACTGGATGATGTTTAAGGTTCCTTTCAACCCAAACCATTCCAAGATTCTGTAATAGCAACCATAGAAATGGCTGCCTTGTAGGCTCAACCTGGAAAGAATAATATGCCTGGGAAGTTTATCTGGAGAAATTAATGTTCTTTGAATTATGTGAATATCTGATCTGGTTTTCCATTAACTCCCCAAAGGCAAAAGCCTGTATGTGTGGGTCATTCTCCTCTACAATGAGGAAGCAGAAAGAAGTGATAAATTCACCCCCTTGAAAGGACAGACAGTGACAGTGTTCTTCCTGCTGTGTCCTTATCTGAGCTCCACTCCCCACGTTTATCAGGTCAGAGCAAAGGCTTGGCACAGCCTGGCATAGCAAACACACTCACTCACCATCCTGCTTGGATCTGGTCAATCTCTTATTGTCTGTGTCCAGGGCACTGAGACAGCTGTAATAATAAAACACAGGAAGTGTTAGTTTTCTAGCAAATTATTAATAGAATACACCTTCCCTCGAAGGTTAATGAGGCTGGTTAAATAACCATCTAATTCTTTGAGGCCTAAAGCAAGATTGAGCAACCCAAGTTGAATGCCCAGGGCAGCTTCCCAGAGTGTCCAGCCCTGCTTTGTGCTGAGCAAAGGCTGGATCACGACAGCACAGGGCCAGGGCCGGGCTGGGAGGGATGTGGTGGACACACAGGTGATTAACACTGGTAATTTAATGATTCTTCTCTATTGCCTGTGTGACAGCCTGGCTGAGGCTACAAGGAGAAGCAGACAGTGTTGCCCTGGAGCAAAGAAAATAGACTTGATTCCCATGTCCTCCAAAATGTATGGCTTTGACCTTGGATGAAGCAGGGTGAGGATGAAGCAGGGTGAGGATGAAGCAGGCTGAGGATGAAGCAGGCAGAGATTGCCCACACAGCCCTAACCCTTCATGGATCCTGCCTGGGAGGCAGAGACATTGTGGTGTAGGTGAGCACACAAAGGAGAACCTCACTTGAACACAGGGCAGGAGAATTACTTTCCTTCTTCTAAATGTTCTATTATCTTAATAGAACATTTTATATTCAACGTCCCCTCAGTTTGGTGCACTGTGTCCTTCCTTGTAGGGCTGTAATTTTAACTGACAAAACCCTCAAAACCCCCCAAAGCTTCCTTGCCATCTGCCCAGGGTTATTAGTTCTGTTCACAACTTCGTTTGCAATCAGAGAGCCTTTGCATGAACACACCCAAATTTTCCTGAGTCCCTGATCCCTTGACAGGATGTCACGTACCAGGACAGAGTTCACTTCCCCACAACCCAAGTTCATCCCAGCATCATAGCAGAGGAGTTAGGAAAGGCAGACTCAAAGAGATACCTACATACAGGAGGGTTGAATTAATAAAAAAGAAACCCAAAAGATGCAAACACAGTGACAGCAAGTCAAGTCCACCCACCAAATGTGTGGTTTTATTCCAGGGTTGAGCGAGTTGTCTCATTAAAGCCCTGAAGCAGAAGCAGAGGTGCCAGCAGTGAATGACATCTCTCCCCAATGCTGCTATCCACGAGCCCAGACAGTTGTGCAAGCCCAGGAGTGTGTTTGCTCCTGCTCCACATGACTCCTACAGACCTGGAATGCACAGGGTGAGCTGCTCAGGCCAGTTAACTCTGTGTGGCACTTGCCACGGACCTGTTATGCACAGGCACTCCTGGGTGCACCTCTAACTTACTACACCCTCTGCAATCAGGCAACATATAGTAATTATTAGTGTTGAGTTTGCTTCCTTTCATCTGATCACGAATTCCAGCGATCACAGTATGACCTAGACCTCAGAAAAGTCATCTTTGCTCTTCTCTAATCTTTTTACAGAAGTAAAAAGCCAATTTTGTTTGCTTTAGTCAGACACTAAATGAAGGCTCTGAATTTCACTGTTGTTTTTGTGATGGAGCTGCTTGGTACACAGAAGCAGGAATATCAGAGAGGCTGGTTGAGCAAGTCAATTAGAGGGCAAAATAAAGGTCAGTAGCAAGGGAAAGGGAAGCAGAGAAATTCTGAGTGCAAATGAGCTGGCAGAAGGAAACCAGACCTTGAGGAGTGGCTGCATGTACTGCACTCAGGGCAAATCCTCTCACAACATCCATTAACAGCAGAAACACCACACTGAATATTGACTGCAAGACTCTGATTTCTCCATCCTGGGAACACCACTGGGAATTGAAAGAGCAGAGCACTGGAAGGGCAGCAGGGCAAAGCCAATCTGCAAGTGCTGGTTTGTTCCTGGTGCATTTCTGTGTGAGAATGAGCCTCTGAGGTTACAGGTGGGAGAGTCCAGCCAGGCTGTCTGGCAGTGGCCCCTGTAACCCTTTCACAGCCGAAGGGGTCTGCAGGAACTGGGGCTTTACATGAATGAAACTCTCCTAAGCCACCCCTTGGCAAGCAGAGAGAGGGAATTGCTCAGCAGATTTGCCAGTGCTCAGCAGCTTAACACAATTCCTGGCGTGCAGCTCAGTCAGGGAAAAACAGCTCCAGGACAGGAACAATACTTTGCTCTGTGTTTTGAAGAATTAAACTGCATGCAAGAATCAGCCAGCCAGTGCTACGATCCTGATGTTATTTGCTTCACCCCAGAATAAACGCCTGGTGCAATCAACCTGGCAGAGAACAAGCTCAAAACACTGTGCCCAGGTGACAGAGTGCAAGTGTAGGAGGCATCCCTCCCATTACTCGATTTTTTTTCCACGGATGATCTTTCCCTGGCAGGCTTTATCAGCTAAACAGCCTGTTTTAAGTCCATATCAAACATCCTCTAAAAGCTGAATAAACCTGATTTATCAGGGAAGTGCTGGCACTATCACATGTGCTGGCCAGTTCAAGTTTAGGCTTGCACACAGTCAGGTTTTCCTGACTATGCTCAGAGCACACACACAGGAACCACCAAGGAAAGTTCCAACAGCTTAACAGGATATAAACACAGGGCTTTTCCCCTCCCAGTTTGAGCTCGCAGCGTTGCCAGTCCTCCACCTCGGACGTGGATGAAACCCACCGCTTTGTGACCCTTTTCCTCGCGAGGCAAACCCTGGACCTGTCCGACGAGTTCCTTCATTGGGTGCACGTTTACCCAAACACACCCCACACCCAGCGCCGCATCAGCTTTTCCACAGCTCGGTCACCTCCAGCTGTTGCCGGTGTGCGGGTGCAGCCCTGGCTGCGCTCCCGGCGTGCCCGGGCTGGGGCTGGGGCTCCCCGCAGGGCCACTGACTCCGAGATCGCAGCTCCAGAAAGGATCTCCCGAGACAGCTGAGGTATCCCAGCGCCTCCCACACAATGACCTTTATATGCCACTAAAAATATGATTCTTACAGCCTCGTACGCCTCATTCAGACTGTGCGCACACCCCGAGCCGTGTCACCCCCTGCCATGCCCTCGGCGCTCCAGCGGCCGGGACCTGCCAGCCCTGGCACGGCACAAACAGGAACCGAAAGCCGCACTCCCTGTGCCAGGGAAAGGTCAGCCCTTCCTCCATCCCAGCTGCCCCGTCCTTGCTCAGCCCAGGCCGGGCTGCCCCAGTGCCGCGGCACCGCTGGCATCGCCCAGCCCGGGGCTGCCGCTCCCGCAGCGCTGGAAAGCGGGGATTGGCACCTTCCCGGGCACCTCCGGCCACGCAGCCCCGTCCCCATGCCAAGCGGGACGCCTGGCACTCACCTGCTGTCCCGCGCGGGTCACTGGCACAGATGGGGAGAGCTTTGGTGGCTGTCCTGGGTGGCGAAGTCCCCGCCCTGGCGACACGCGGCAGTGACGTGAGGGAGCTCCAGCCCTGCCCTGCCCATCCCTGAACAGTTGGTTGTGATCCAGAGAAGGGAGAAGTTCCCGGGAAAGCCTCACTCGCACTGCACGTTTGGGATGGAACCCCAAATTGCACTTTAGGGGTTACACGGAGGGCAGGCTGGGACGGCATTCCCTGTAAAAATCCCTGGGAGCTGAGGGGCTCTGCCTGCAGGCTCTGGTCTCTCACTCCTGCCTGCAGCAGGCGTGGAGCACACAGACAGAAACACCCTCGAGGAAGAAGTCCTGTTCCTCCCCCGGTGTTGTTTGTGGGGATTTCTGATCTGTATCGTGCCTCCTGTGCTCCCACAGCACCTCTCTGGCTCTTCAGCATCCTCACCCCTCGTCTAAGCACTTTGCATTGCAAACAGCCATGATTTCACTTAGGATGGTTCTTTGCATAACGATTATTCCTTTTGCCCCGATAAACGGCAGTGCCCTCAAGCCAAAACCCTTCAGGCAAAGGGACTTCAGTTTTACCCCGATGCGACCCTGCCGGGTCAGCCACGGCCATGATCACAAAGCTGACAGAGCCTTGCAATAGCGGTATCTTGTCTTCAAATGTTTATCCTCAGGACCTTTGGTTCCTCTGATGCCAAACGTGCTGTTATAATCACGGGTAAACCAAGCCTCTCAGTTTTTTCCAGCTCGTAGGACAGCTCTGTCTCATCCCTGTTCCTCTTTGCCCATGCTCCTTTGCTGGAAGGGATCTAAATTTAGCAGCCTGGATGCGGGCAGGCTGTGCCTCAGTGAGCATGTCTGTGTGGGTTATTTATTACAGCTCCTGCTGCAGCTCAGCTCCCAAAACAGCTCCACGGAGCCCAGCACCTACTGCTGATGCAAGGGGATGGACCAGGGGAACAGAAAATCCAGGTTCAAGCCTCAAACACTCTTCTTTTGCACTGCAGAGACGCTTTCCATGGAAAATCTGGCACTTGACCCTGCCCAGGATTCAGTGTGGACCAGCACATATAAACTGTTGCTAAGGAGAAACTTTTCTCTTTCCTACATCTGTGAAAGTTTCCATTCTCAGCCCTTCTTCTCACGTCAGCAGTCCCTGCTCTGGGCCCATTTTAATCCCCCAGCAGAACTGCTGTGTTTCTCCATCTTAGGTTGCCAGTGATTTTTTTTAGCCTGTGTATTTTCATCCTTCTGTTTGCTTCCCAGTCTCTTCAGCCCCCTGGACTGGAAGGCTGTACAGTCACTGGTATATGCAATAGTAATTATTTAATACCATGAGTTATCACTTTTCTTTCCAAATTAGTTAAATATTGCACCAATCCTCCCATTCATTATTTTCACAATTTAACCTTTTCTTTCCCCCTGGGAGAGGCACCAAGGAGGAGGAATACCTGAAGATACAAAGTGTTTGTGTGGATGTTTTTGGCCACCTGGAATTAGTCATGTAAGTGCAGTCCATTCAGCAGCCAGATCCTGACACATCACACAGCCAAGTTCCCTGTAATCATGGCTGGTTATGGGTGCTGGCTCCAGAGCCATCTGATTCAGTCACGATTATTTGGACCAGAAAGGAAAACAAAAAGGCACAAAAGCTTCTGAGCATGCTGAGAGTTGTCTGAGTTTCTCTGGAAGGTGGATAGAATGACAGGGAGTTTAAGGAACCCTGTTATACCTTGCTACAGGAGCTGCTCCCTTCAGGAAGGTGAAGGGTTGTTGCTGTATTTTCCTAGACAAGGTTCAGGTGACAAAGCTTTGTCTCTCCAGGGGTCCTTTGTGCAGGGTCTGCTCAACTTTCAGCTTTGTCTTCATCTCTGAAAGGAGGAAAAGGCTATGGTTATTCTCCAGTATCTCCAGCTGAAGGATATCACTGGCTGGCATAGCTTTGCTGTCCTTGCATCAGAGGGACAGCAGGGGACAAGCCCACAGTCCCTCTCAGTGCAGTGACAGAGCACGTTGCTCTTCTGTTCACAGACACTTCATTTGTCCTGTCAATTATTTTAACCACCCTTGGTTTAAAGCTCTCAGCCCCCCAGACTTTACTCAGTTACACACATGCTTTCTATTCCCATTCCATCCTGCTGTTCTCCCATCTGCAAAAGACCTCATGAAAATTAAAGGTCACAGAAAAACAGGGAGGGCAGTGTGCATTAAGTAAATAACTCAGGCTCAAACAGCAGCCCTTTAGGTCGGGGTATTTCTTCAGTCCCACAATGAGAACAGAGCTGAACCTCTAGAAATGGCAACATTTGGTTTTGCCTGAAGGACCTGACCTTTTAAATTTGCATCTCAGAGAGCAAAGGAGCCTTGTGCTAGGAGGAGAGATTTTCAGTGTGTCCTTTCATCAGCAGGTACCTGCCTTTAGCTCTAGAGGAACAGCCTCACTCACTGAGCTCCAAATCCTGACACTAATGAAGTCATTCACCAAGAGAGGGTCAGAAACTGGGCCTTTGGGGATTAAGCCAATGGTTCACAAGGGAAGTGCTCACTTTCCTACCTGAGCACTGGCAGTTTGCAAACAGCCCCTGAAAATGGGGTTATTTAAGGGTTGCACAAGTGCTGTGGGAGTGTGTTGGATGCTGTAGCTCAGTCAGTGTTGTCTCCATAGCAGCAGCACCCGAAGGTAGGGTGGAGGCTGAAAACCAGCCCTTGCTTTTCCAAAGCACTGGGTTCTGTGTGCTTTTAAGAGGGTGAAGAATTCTCTCATTCCCTGTATTAATATCACAGGAGTCTCAAATGAACTGCAGTTGTTAGGGCTCGCTGCAGACATCCAGGGGCACTTCTGACCCTTAGAGCCAGGGTGTGTCCTTACCTGCTGTTCAGGTAAACAGCCACAAATCACAGGTGTTTTGGGAAGAGGTGTTTTGGGGAAGAACTTAGGAAGAGGCAGCCTGGAGCTGTTGCTCCATGATTGGAGTAGAGCCCTTTTAACACAAAGAGAGGAAGGAAGATGAAACACTGCCAGAGCTAGGTAAGCAGGGCTTATTTGAGTGGGAAAACTGAACTATTCCAACTCACATAAAAAAATGGAGTGTTCTTAACTCTTCATAACCACTAGAAACACTGCTTGTGCACTCAGCATTATCAGGGGAATGAGCAGCACTCTCCCTTTTAGCAATCCAGGCAGGATTTAGAACCCTGAGCACAGCATACCAGCACTGCTATGCAAGTCAAAGGCTCTCTGGGTAGATTATATAAACATAAATGTCACACAAGGCCAAGAAGGAACTGGGGAGCAGAACTGATTTGAGAAAATTCCTGTAACCCAAGATGCCTTTAAAACAAGCAGCCACTTGAACACAGGGGGAGCCCACAGGGCTGAGACAATGAGCTGTAAGGGGAGACAGCGATGAGCACTGCAAGGATGAGACAGCCAGGAGTCGAATTCCCGTTTCAAGTGTGCTTCAATCAGCAGGTTCTCGAGGTGGGGATGCTCGTGTTCTGTGGGCAGGCACACAGGAGGGGATCCCAGCTGCTCTCACAGCTCCTCACGCTGACAGCTCTAGCAGATCTCGGCGGCGGGGGGCTCTCCACACTGCTGTCCCCCAGCATATGCTGTGCTGACACTGCCTCAGAGATGCCCACCCACTCTGCCTTTCTCCCACAGAGAAACTGAAGGCTGCACTTGGCCGCGGGCCCAGTCTGCTGTTTTCTTTTCTTCAGGAAAGCTATAAACAACAGGGAATGCAAGCAGCCCGGGGCCACCGGGGGTCTGATGGCTTCGCTGGCTGCCTGTGGCCCTGAATCCATCCAAAGGGGAACAGGAGTCAGCAAAAACCACCAGAGAGGGAGGGGGCTCAACGAATGTTCACTTTAATTAGCATACATATAATTCTGGAGAGGAAATGAGTACCTTTCACTTTTTCTTCTTAATTAATATTGCCTCGATGTAGTTTAATCTTACTTAGCTGCTCTGTAATTTGGCCATGACCCAGCTGTAGGGGATGGAAACAGCCATGACTGCCCAGCTCAGGATGACTTTTCCTGACCCTGCATTTAAACAGAAGTGAGCAAAGGGTGTGGGCAGACCCGGGTGAGGTAGCTCAGGGCAGGAGGAGCCCCAACAGGATCCTGACACTGGAAACACAGCTGATAAATCCCTTCTCAGGGAGAGCCCAACATGCAAACTTCCCTTAGTGTGGCAGCAGCTGCTGTAAGGGACAGAGTGGAGCAGTGGTGCAAAGTCATGCTCCTTGAGAAGCACGGCTCTGTCCCACCCAGGCTGTGCTCAGGGTCAATCCAGGCCGTTGCATCCCACGTGTGAGCCTGCAGAGCTCCACCAGCTCCATTATTTCTGGGTGTGCCACTGCTGGGGATGGAAGATTGGCTTCCAGCCACAGGAAGCAGAGCCATTGCTGGAGCAAGTGAGGATGTCCTGCAAGGGCAAACAGGAGCACCAAGGAGGTGGAAGATTCCAGTTCTTAAACACGTGAAGCACAGATCTGAGTTCTGGAGTCTTTCTGTTCCTCTGCACAAGTCTGAACCCAGTAAAGCCCAGCTCCATGACAGTGTGCTTGAGAACTGACCTTTTCTTGGGGTGATGGAGATCAGTGATGGTTTTTCTGGTCATACTAATAGTGTTTGGGGGCCACTACTGTGCACTTGGCAAGAAATCCTTGAAATCCAGGAAATCACAGGCAGAGAGATGATAGAACAGTGGCTCTATTCTTTGCTGGTGAGAAGCTTAACAGAGTTTTTTGCAGTAAATTTATATTTAAAGAGACACAGAATTGTGGAATGCATTGGATTGGGAGGGACCTTAAAGCTCATCTTGTTCCAGCCTCCATGGGCAGGGACACATTCCACTGTCCCAGGCTGCTCCAAGCCCTGTCCAGCCTGGCCTTGGACACTTGCAGGAATCCACAGCTGCTCTGGGCACCCTGTGCCAGGGCTTCATCCCCCTCACAAGGAACAATCCCTTTCTTATATCTAATCTATTTCCTCCCTTACTTTGAAACACTTACCCCTATCACTGTGTAAAAAGGGCTCTCCCAACACACTTACCAAGATAAACATTACCGTGTGATTAAGACCTCGTTATTATGCGGTGAATTCATGAAAATGTGACCACGGCGGTGTTTCCCCTGGCCGGTTAAGTGACAGCAAGCACAGTGCCAGCTCTGCTCTCCGTCGCTGCCGCTCCCCGAGCTCTCCAGAAGGGGCCAGTGTGCCCTCGCCTTTCGGGGGCCGCAGCAAACCTGCCCAGGCCTGTGTTTTTATTTAGAAAATGCTGAGCTGTCTGGAAAGTTTGATGAAGAGGGATGCAGCTGTATTAATGCGCTTCTTCCTGGGGATTTGAATGCATTTTCTGAGCAGCGCAGAAGGACCAGGGATCAGGGAGACAATGTGCAGGGAAGCAGCTCGGATATTTTAAACCTTGCGTCATGGGATTTCAGCAGCTTAAAATTTGGTGTTTAGATTGAGTCCATTAGTCAGAGGCTCCTCTCTGCAGCAGGACAAGCCCGGGAGCGCTCTGGAGTCGCCCTGACACGGGAGGAGCAGCAGGCCCTGTCTGTGCTGTGGCCACGGATCAGCTTTTTCCCTTGGAGCTTTCAGGCTCAGTTCCCTCTGATCCCTGTGAAGGTCACTGGGATTGCAGCAGCGCAGCCGAGCCTTGTGCCTTCTGGAATAAAGAACATCCCCAGCGTCTGCAGCCGGGGATGGCTCCTGCTGTGCTCCCCAGAATGGTCATGGGTGGGGTTTGTGTGCCCGTGGGCTGAACATCAGAGCCCCCAGCCGCGCGTGGGTCTGCCACTGCCTGCATTGCACTGCAGGTACGGTTAAAAAAAGCCCTCTCGGAGCCAGGGAGGAGGCTCGGCAGTGCATCTGCAGCTCTCTGCATGCAGTGGCTTTTATCTCCTTTAGTTGGAAATGAGTCATTTCCCTGTACTGTACAGAGATGCCCAATTTCCTTGGAAATGGTTCAGTTCTGCAGAGTCCCCAGAAATCCCCAGTGATGGGACACAGTTTTTTGCACTGGGTGTTTTACCTGTCTTGAGAGGTGTTTGGAGATTTTCACAGGTTAGAGAAATTAAAACAAATAATTTAAAATAATGGATAGAAGCAACTGAGACTTCACTCAGTTCATATTTATTCCAAAGGGCACGTGAACCTTCTGTACTGAGCTCTGGCAGTTAATTCATCACAGAGCCCCAAAGCACAGCCAAGCATGTTTCATGCAGATTGAAGCCTGCAAATGAAAAAGGGCTGTTTGCACACGTGTTGGCTGCCTGGCTGAAAGGACTGCAGCTCCAGCTGTGTGGACTTGGGGTGTACTTGGAAATGAGGTGCAGTCCAGGAGCCACCCTACAAATTATGGGTGACTGAAGATGGTCAAAGGAAGACTTTGGGGTCTGCAGGGTGGTTTTGTGAGCCCACACCTTTAAGACCTGCTGAGGACAAGGATGGTGGAAGAGGTGCAGCATGATCCACAGTGAAGAGAAACAGCAGAAAAACAACTGTAGTGACGTGCTGTCAGATCTGCCCATCTGTGTATTGCTAAATGCTACCACCAGCAGTTTTACCTGCCTATCCTCACAGCCATATGCATCTTAAAAGTCTTCAAACACTGTGAGGAAAAACCCAATTACACCCATTTACAACAGGCTGATCCAACCTCACTGGCATGGCTGGAAGCTCGTGACCAAAGCGAGGCCAAGGGCTGTGGGAAGGGTAAACATTTTTGTCACCCCAAAGCAACCAGGTCTGGCCTACCCTGGGGACAGGGGCTGGCAGCACAGTGGCTGTAGTTATTACCATAATACAGGAAATAATAGTCATTGGGAAAATGGGACCATGCTTTGGTTTCCTCTTCCATGCCAGTCAGAGGGGAGGAAGGACAGTGGTGCTGTCATGGAGGTATTAATTTGGCAACCAAGTGCTGCTTGGGTTTTGTATTCTGGAAAAAAACCCCAATTTTTGCCATTTTAACATTTCCCTGTGCTGCTTGAAATCCCAGCTCCAGCCTTCAATAGTGCATGAGAGGAGCTGGCTGCTCTGGATGCCATAAGCTGGGAAAATCTCCTGATTCCTGAGGAAAAAATGCTGAGAAGAACTCAAAGTGCATTTACAGTAAGATCTGAGCTAAACTAAACCTTTCCAAAGCCTGACCCAATGGCTTTGGGCTCTGGAGGAGCTGCAGTGCCCCTGAGGAGCATCTTGCCAGGCAGGAAGGAGGAGGAAGCTGTAATTTAACAGCAAATCCAAGGCACGGGTTTTACAAAACCAGCTACCAGGTGTAAAACTAAAGGCATTTAGAAGGATATCTCTGCTGTCAGGATTTTTTCTTAGGCTCTCAAAACAGGCTCTAGCAGGGCCTGTGTGAAGATAAGCCTCGTGCTTCAGGCTAATCCCAAGATGTCACAGCAGTGGCCTTTTATTATTATACCACAAAAACATCGACTTTAGCGCATTATTTCAAAGATAAACGTAAATACCCGTCACCATGCAAAGCCCAAATGTGGGCCGTGGTTCCTCGCGGACAGGATTTCTGCACTCATCCCTCGCGGCGAGGAGGACGCCGAGTCCCCGGGCCCCGTCCGCTGTCCCTGGGGCGGCCTCCGGTCCCGGCCGGTCTGAGGGGCGACCCCGGCCCGGGCGCTCCGCCACAGCCCCCTCACGGCCCCGCCGGCACAGCGCTCCCTGCCGGCCGGAGCCGCGCGGCATGCCGGGACTTGTAGTCCCCACGGCCACAGGGCACCCCGTCCGCCGGCCACAGGGAACTACCGCCCCCAGCGTGCCGCGCGCGGCGCCGCCATCCCGCCGAGCCCCCGCTCCCCCTCCCCCCGCACTGTGGGGCGGGGGGCGCTCTGAGGGCTGCGGGACGGGACATTCTGGGGCGCGACATCCCGGGACGGAGCGCAGCGGAACGGGACGGCACAGCCCGGGGCGGCGGGGCCGGGCCCTGCAGCTGGCGGAGGCGCGGGGGCGGTGCTCCCGACGGCAGCCGGGACTTCCTGTGACGGCCCATTTCCTGGTCGGATGGGGCCGGCGGGGGGCGGCGGCGGGGTCGGTCCCTGTCCCTGACGGGCTCGGTGGTCGCCGGTGACGCCGCCAGGCAGCGATGCGAGCCCCGGGCCCTGCCGGCAGCCGGCCCCCGCCGTGACCCGGTGGGGCTGCGCACGCCGGCCCCGCGGGGCGCATGGAGGCTCCCGCCGCCCTCTGCGAGGTACCGGGCAGCGTCGCTGCGGGTCGGGGCTCGCGGAGGGGCCCGCGGGGGTGACGCCGCAGGCCCGTTATCCCCGGTGCTTTTGCAGGTGTGACTCCCCGCGGGACAGCGCGGCTCGGCCCCGCCAGGCGAGCGGCCCCGGGCCCCCCTCAGCGGCCGCGGCAGGAGCCAGGAGGGCTCGGGAGTGACACCGGCATCGCCCCCGTCGCCGGCGGCTGCCGCCTCCTGAGACATGAAGAAGTTCTTCGACTCGCGCCGGGAGCAGGGCGGCTCCGGGCCCGGGTCGGGCACCAGCGGCGGCGGCGGCGGCAGCAGCGGCCCGGGCAGCGGCTACATCGGCCGGGTCTTCAGCATCGGCCGGCACCAGGTCACCGTGGATGAGGTGCTGGCGGAAGGTAAGGTCCCGGGGCCTTTCTGAGCGCTCGAGGACGCTGCTTTTCTCTTCCCAAGGTGGAAGGGAGGCCTTGAGGTGTCCCGGGCACTCAGCCTCCTCCTTGACCCCCAGATTGCTGAATATTTCATTGTCCTTGGTAGAATTGCAGTCCAGTGGTGTCTGTAAGCTGATGTGTCTGGGCTTCCCATCTGTAAATCCAGTGTGGGTTTGGTAGATTTGGCTGTTTTTTTAAATGCTTTAGAAATTGGGGGATTTTCAGAAGTTAATTGTTTCCCACTTCTCCTAAAGTGGGAGTTAAAAAAACCTAAAGAAACAGCCAAACCAAAATTGTCAAATATTTTGGTGCAGAACAAGCTGCTGTAAATAAAGAAAGCAGTGTCCTTCAGTCTTAAACTTTCTTCAGCTGTTACCTCCTTTCCCACCTCAAGCAGAGAGGATTAAAGCACTGGAGTAAATTCCCTGTAGCTATGTTATGCACATAGGCTGAGCAGGACTGGCTGTGACCTGGGATGAGGGATTTCTCTGTGTGTGGGATGTCTGCAAGAGGAAGTGGTGATCCCAATTGCCTTTTTTATTTTTTTTTCCCCCCCAAATAAAACAGTTAGAGACCTAAAAATGAATCCTGGGGGTTACAGAACTCACGACGTGTGCAGGCCTTGCAGTGCTGGTGGCATTTGTTTAATTGTGACCAGCTCTGCTGCTCGAACTATCATTTTACATTTCATTTGTTGGGGCTGTAAGGAACCTCCTGAATGGCTCTGCCTGGTAACCTTAGCCTCGACCTTCAGAGAGATGTTGGCCTCCTTAGACCTGCTCCTGGTCCCTCCTGCGCAGCATCCTGGGCAAATTTAGTCCAAACAGTGTTTTGTTTTGATGGCGAAGGAGAGGAGAGCTGCTGGGAGAGAGCTGAGTGGGAGGACCTGTGTTGGCTTTTACAGAAAGAGCCCTAAAATGGAAAAGGGACTCTGTGTACGCTGCCTGTGTTCAGATTTGTAAGAATTCATCACGGTGTACAAGAAAATAGGTCTGTGGCTGATTTTTAGACTTGGTTTCTGATGTGTTCTGCTGAGAGGAGCACTGAAACCAGGCTTTTACCTAGCAACTATAGTGATTTTTTTTTTCCTTTAAATTTGCAGTATAGGTTTGCTTGGACTGATATTTCCAAGGCCCTTTTGGCTCTGGAAGCTTAGGACCTACATGAGCTAAACTTGAGAAGCTGTCAGTCTCTCTTTAATGCAGGATGGCCTCATCCTGGTAACATGGGAAGGCAGAGGCTTTTTTTGCTGATGAGTAATGTGCTGGCAGGTTCTGCCCTGGGAAGCAAAGCCATGTGTCACCGGGCTCTCCTGCTGCAGCAGAGGTGGAGGTGGGAGCACAGATTGCCTGGGAGAGAAGAGCCTCCCTTCCCTGCCTCTCTGTCCTGGGGGAGCTGCTGCTTGTGGGGGCTTTTCCCTACATCTCCTGTTTCTGTGTGTGGGATGGAGCATGACCTGCAGCTCTGGGTTCCTTCCATGCAGGCTGAGCACACCTGTGAAACAGTTCCTGTGAGGCAGAGGGAGTTCTTGTGGTAAAAGGTGCTGCCCAGTGAGGCTGTGCCGTGGGCAGTGTGAAATCCTCTGTGTGCTGAGTGGAATCTGCGAGGGGACACGAGCAAGGCAGTGGGTTGGTTTGCAGGTTGGTTTGCAGGTTGTCCCCTTTTGTTGGCAGCAGTGAAAATGCCTTTTCCTCTGCAGGGAAGCTGGGCCAGCTGGGGGAGCAGTGTGGGTCAGGAGTGCTGCATGCCCCTGGCTGGGTGTGCTGCTGAACAGCCTTTTCTCCCTGACTCAGCTGGAGACCTGGGGAGCTCGTGGGCAGCCCGGTCCCCACGCTCCTGACGTCTGAAACCTCGGCTGGAAAACCTCTCTGTAGCTGCAGTGGTGTTTCAGCAGTGCTGAAGAGGCAACTCCTGGCTATTTCTGCTAAAAGGAAAAGTCCCCTGGGAAGCACTTTGTAGGAGGAGTATCCTGTCTAGGAAGGAAGGGCCTCTCATCTCTTTGCTTTAGGAGGGAGTGGGGAGGCTTGTGTTTAGGTGCAGCCTGTGAAACATGAAAAAACAGAGCTGTAAAAGTGGCTTGAAAGAGAGACCCAATGAAGTGATGAATGGTGTGGAGGAGACTTGAGTTGAACCAGAAGTTTTGGAACTGAAGGGTTTGGAATTTGCCTCTGCCTGTCAGAGCTGTGCCTGGTCACCCTGAATTCTGCTGAGCAACCCTGCTGATGAGGAGTGTGTGTGCCCTGGCTGCAGCACTGCCTGTGCCAGGTGGCAAATGGCTCCATGTGCCTCTGGACTCTTGTGTAGATCCCCCAAAATACCTGCTGTGGTTAGGTGTACCCCCCCACCCCTGAAAAATAGTTCTGTCTGGATACTTGCCTGCCTGGGCAGGGAGGAACATCCCTTCATTTTGGAAGGAAGTAGATGGGAATAATGCAGAAGGAATTTGAGGAGTTGGTTGTGGTGTTAGGATATGGTGAATCAGTGGGTTTTTTTCAAACAGGGTGTTGCAATAGGTGGTTCCTAGTTGGGTCCTTGTAGCTCTCCTGCTCTAATCCATATAATAGCACAAATAAGCTCTTGAACAATTCCCCTCAAAGTTTGCAAAAGGATTATCTGTGGTGGGAGGGCAGTGCTGCTGGCCCTGGGGGTCTGCAGGGCCAGGTTTAAAGGCACACAGGGCCCCAGTATGGGCTGAGGGGTGTTGTGACTGGTTTTGGGGTGAGTGGTGTTTCACAGAGCTGAGGTCAATGCCCAGGAGCTCTGTCAGTGTGGGGCTGAGTCAGGCTGCTGTCTGGCTGTTTTCTTTCTGAAAATAAATCAAAAGAGTGTTGGACCAAATCAGGTACTGCTCTTTGTTTCTGCCTTTGTGTAGGGGAAAAACCAAAACAACAAACCCCCACCCCAGAGCCCCATGCTGGAGCTCTAGGGAGGTTGGTGTCCCTCTGATGGGGATCAAAGCAGCAGAAACACTGAGAAGGATGTTGCCATAAATGAGGAATTTGCTAAGGAGTTTGGGAGAGGTGTGTGTGTGTGTGGCAAAGTACCACGAGGCATGGGTGAGCTAAAACAGGTTAGGGATTGCCCCAGTGTCCCATTTTTGAAGGCCTCTGTGTTTTGTGTGACTCCACTCACAGTGTTGTGAGGGAGTGCTGAGCTGACCCGAGGTGTGTAAACATTGATGGGCCACGTGTTTGAGCAGGGTTTTGTCTTGCTCTGCTTCTAGCAAAAAGTACAGGCTGCATTTCTGCAGGTCTGTGAAAAGTTACTTTGAAAATGACTTTTTTGAAGGTCTTTTCCCCTTCAAGTGTGTAAGTAAGGGATTCAGGTTTAATAATTGGTGGATATCTCACTGAAGTTTTTCAGGTACGTGCCTGTGTGCTGTAGCTGGTGTTGATTTGAAAGCATTTAGTGCTTGGTATTACAAACCAGTGCAAAGGCACAGAATCATCTCACGTTTGCCAGCTGTGCTTTTTCCTCTGTTTTGAAAAGAGGGATGTTGTGGGATCCATCCTGACTTTCCTTAGCAGACCTGCAGGGCAGTGCATGTGGGAAGCAGCTGGGAGAGGCTGTGAATGCCCAGCCTGGTGGGGTGGGGGTGCCAGCTGGGAGAGGCTGTGAATGCCCAGCCTGGTGGGGTGGGGGTGCCCCGAGCTGCCCAGGGTGCTGGCCTGAGTGCAGAGGGTTTCTGCTGGCCCCTGCCCTGCTCTCCCTTGGCACCTCCTTCCCCTGCAGCACTGTAACCTGAAGTCACTGAAAACACACGTGAGCTTCTTCTGAAATAATTTCACTTTAAAGCAAACCCCATCTGAGGAATGTTTTGCAGATTTATGTGATCCTCAACCCAATTCCAGTGTGGTTGGGTTCAAGACATTGCTTTGAAGTGTATTTTGTGAGTTACTGCTTTCCAGCTTCAGCCAAGGGCCAGCTGCTAATCACCTGACCAGGGACATTTGGATTAGGAATTAAACTGTTTCTCCTCTTGGAAGGGGACATGTGATATTTTTTTTCCCCTGTTTCTTGTGGAGCAGAACATGTACTCTGCACTCTGCTCTGCCAGGTAGGATGTTTCATTCTGTGTTCTAGCAGTCTGTTTTTCTGAGAGTAGAAGCCAGGGGAACTTGTGAAGGATCCCAAGGGAGTTACTTGCTAAATGCTGAGGTATCCCAACTGTTTTGGTGCTTTTAGCAGCACAGCTTTTGCTGGGACAGTATGTGCTGTGTCCTGAGATGTAATCAGGGAGGAAAAGCAGGTGTTAGTGGATTTAAGTGTGTAAGAAGTTGTGTGGGCCAGAGACTGGCCTGGCTTGGCTCATGGGCTTTGTGCTGCCTGTCACAGAAGGGGTCTGGGTTGTACCCAGGGGGGCTGGTTCCTTATGGAGTAGCTGTGGCAGCTAAAAGCTGATTTAAAGGCAGTGTTAGCCCAGCCAGTCATCATCCCAGGAAGGAACCTTCCATGTGAAACCAGGAGAGTTTCTGTTTCAAGCAGTCCTGCTATGAAGTTGTCAGTATAAGAAATGTTAGTTTGGGGTTTCTGGCTGGGGGTGATCC